CATTTATTTTTGCATCATTATAGAGGTACAAAAGAACTATGCCTGGAAAATCCGTTCAATATCAGAGCTTAAACGCATCACCAGGACTCAAAAAGTGCTGGGACTAAAGCGTGCGTGCCAGCTGTGGTTAATTTTCATGACAAATGTAGCTGATAATTAAGGAAAAGGGAGAGAGATTTGAAATAAACTATGCTTAGTTGAAGGTTATATATGTAGAATATCTGGAATATAATGATATCAAAAATTCACGCAAGCGTTCAATCGTTATGACCATTTTTAAAAGGGACAGTTATTCCGAATCACCCTGTATTATAAGGTTTGTTGTCTGATCGCTTAGGCGATAAGGTAATTTTGATTTGTTTAGTGCTATTCTAGCCCATTTTGGGAACATTTAGCATCCGGAAAGTCACGAGCCTGATCCTCCGGAATACCCAGAAAATCCGTAAAAAGTGGTCAATTCATGAAACTTATCCAAGAACTCCACGGTTTTTCGAAACCACTCATAGACGTCTTATCAGAATTAATTTGGAGTTGTGACCTGAATATGGTCCCAGAGGACCGCGAGATGGTCCACCGGCAGATCCGGAACATCCGTAAAAGTGGTCAATTCATGAATCTGATCCTAGAGCTCAGCAGATTTTTCGAAATCACTCCTAGACATCTTATCAGATATTTTAGTGAGCCAACCCATAGTCTCCAGCATCCATTTTCTGGTCACATCTCCAAATTCATTGTGATAAGCCATCTAAGAGTGGTTTCGTCACATCGCCGTTGGAATCTATTTCATGAATTGCCCATTTTTAAGGATGTTCCAGATTTTCCGGAGGACCATCGCATAGTCCTCAGAATCCATATTCCGGTCAAAACTCTGAATTCATTCTGATAAGACGCCTATGAGTGATTTCGACAAAACCGTGGAATTCTAGAATCGGTTTCATGGATTGACTACTTTTACGGATGTTTCGTATCTTTTAGTGAACCATCCCGTAGTTCCCAGCGTCCATTTTCTGGCCAAAACTCTGAATTAAATTTGATAAGACGTCTATGAGAGGTTTCGAAAAAACCGCAGACCTCTAGGATTAGTTTCAATTATTGATCAGTTTTACGGATGTTCCGGATCTTTCAGTAAACCATCCTATAGTCACTTTTTCTGGCCACAACTCTGATTTCATTGTGATAAGACGTCTATGAGTGGTTTCGAAAAAACGGCGGAGCTCTAGAATCTGTTTCATGAATTGACCACTTTTACGGGTGTTCCGGATCTTCCGGAGGACCATCGCATAGTCCCCAGAGCCCATACCCAACAAACATTGAATATTGAATAAGAGCTTATTCAGGCAAAACCAACCTTTTTCAGCTAAATAATAGCTTAATCAGCTGTTAATCAACTCAAATTGTTTGTTGGGTATTCCTTTCAAAACTCTGAATTCATTCTTATAAGACGCCTATGAGTTGTTTCGACAAAACCGCGGATTTCTAGGATTGGTTCCATGAATTGACAACTTTTACGGATGTTTCTGATCTTATAGTGACCCATCCCGTAGTCTCCGGCGTCCATTTTCTGGTCACAATTCTTAATTGATTATGATAAAACGTCTATGAGTGGTTTCGAAAAAACCACGGAGCTCTAGAATCTGTTTCAAGATTTGACCTCTTTAACGGATGTTCCGGATCTTTCGTAGGTCCATCGCATAGTCCCCATAGTCCATATTCCATTCAACACTCTGAATTCATTCTTATAAGATGCCTATGAGTGGTTTCGACAATAAAGGGCGAACACGAAATTATTGCGACACCGAAAATGTCGTGCCAATTTTCTTATAATGTTTAGAATCAAACCAAAATTTTAGGGTAGTTTTATACATACATTTACTTCAAAAATCAAAAGAAAAGTTAATCGATGGAGCCTTGAGTGTAAAATTGAACGCATTTTCGCTTGATGCCCTCCATCAAAGTCTTTAAAGTGTCATCCGGTACCAGTTTCTCAGTTTTTTTTCCATTTTCTTAACATGTACTTCTCGTCTTTGACTTCTTCTTGCTCTTCCGAAGTTCCCGCTTCATTATTGCCAAGAACTGCTCCACCGGGCGCAGCTCCGGACAGTTTGGCGGATTCATGTCCTTTGGAACAAAATGGACAGAATTGGCCTCATACCACTCCAGGACACTTTTAGAATAGTGGCATGATGCCAAATCTGGCCAAAATAGCGGAGCTTCGTCGTGCTGCTGCAAGAACGGCAAAAGGCGCTTCTCGAGGCACTCATATTTGTAGATCTTGCCATTTACTGTGCCCTTTGTCACGAAAGGCTCACTCCTCAGTCCGCAAGAGCAGATGGCCTGCCAAATGAGATATTTGGAGGTGAACTTCGACATTTTCTTCTTCTTAAATTTGTCGTCCACATCGAACTTGCTCTTGCCGGTGAAAAACTCCAACCCCGGAATTTGCTTAAAATCAGTTTTTATATACGTTTCGTCGTCCATCACACAGCAGCCATATTTTGTCAGCATCTTCTCGTAGAGCTTCCGTGCCCGAGTTTTAGCCGTCGATTGTTGCCGCTCATCGCGGTTTGGGAAGTTCTGTACCTCTTATGTATGTAGTCCAGCTCTCTTTTTTGCATTCTGGACGTAGCTCTGCGACATGCCGATCTTTTTAGCCAAATCACGGCTTGAGACGTTGGGATTTGCTTTAATCATCCGCTTCACCTTTCCCTCCGTCTTTTTGTTCTCCGGTCCCGGTTTTCTTCCAGCTCCTTTGCCGTGGTCCAACGTCAACCGCTCCTGGAACCGCTTCAACACTCTGGAGACGGTTGAATGGTGAATGTTCAACATTTTTCCCAACTGCCGGTGCGACAGGTCAGGAAATTCCAGGTGTTTGGAAAGAATTTGTTCTCTCAACTCGCGTTGGTTCACCTCCATTTTCGTTGAATCGAAAAACACGACTTCGAGTTTGACAGCATGTACACAATACACATCAATGAGAAAGTGTGCAAAATTTGGTTGATTTTTACCCAATGGTAAAAAAGTTATGCCCTGTTGAATGTATCGCAATAATTTCGCGTTCACCCTTTACCACGGAGTTCTAAAATGTGTTTCGTGAATTGACCACTTTTAAGGATGTTCCGGATCTTCCGGTGGGCCATCCCGTATTCTACAGAGTGCATATTCTATTCACAACTCCAAATTCATTCTGATAAGACGTCTTTGAGTGGTTTAGAAAAAAAAAAACCGCGGGTCTTTAGGATCAGTTTCATTAAACAACCACTTTCACAGATGTTCCGGATCTTTCACAGGACCACAGGATTTAAATACTTGCTACTGACGCCAATTTTGACCGATTTTGAATCTTTTGGCACCATAGGATTCAGACATTTATCTTCTTTCTGGACATTGTCAACAATGTCCATGCGGAACAGTTTGGTTCCCGGAAATCCGGATTTCCTGTATAATGTTCCAGAACTAAGCATTTTCTTTCACATTCGCTAGAATTTCGAAGGAATCGATATAAAAGTATCAGAATCTCCTTCAAGAAACAATTTCAGCTTACTTGAGGACCAGTTTAAGGTTTCTCCCCGGAACGGCCATTCGGGCGCAGGTTCCCGTAGGGCCTCTAGTGGCCATAGAAGTGTTTGGGAAGAAACCCCTGCAATATGGGTATCAAAATTCATGAATTTACTGCAGGAGACTGTATATCATAATTTTGTGATCATCCGATGGATTGTCCCCGGGACAGGCATTCCGGAGTAGGTTCCAGTAGGGCCTCTAGTGGTCATAGAAGTGTTTGGGAAGAAACCCCTGCAATATGGGTATTAAAATTCTTGAATGTTTAGCAGTAGACTGTTCATCATATTTTCGTGGCTATCTGAGAGATTGTTCCCGGAATTTGTTTGGATAAAATGCTCTTTATTTTTTTGAAAGTTAAAAAAGAAACTTTTCTCGTCATTTGTTTGTATCTGACTAAAAGTCCATGGAACGGCCATTTTGGAACAAGTGAATAATCTAGCATTCTTCATTCATTGGGTGGAAAAAATATCGTGGTCATGTCCAGGGAATTGGAGAAATTTCAAATTTTCCTATCCGTAAACATCCTCGAATCAACGCGGGAATCGTACCAGTAACCCTTGAACTGTTATGCCCCGCTTTTACCGGCTAGGCTAACGGAAGGCCACCATTCACTAACACCATTCATATCCTAAACACCAACAACGGCACTCTCAAAATCCTTCTTAGCATCCCCCGGTTGAATCGGTAGAATCAGTTAACTAATGTGGTGGCCCTCAAAACGGCGGAAAAGCTACAGCCCAAACATCGCTGACCGCAGTGATGTTGATTCGCGGATTGTCTGGTTGCATGTGCGTTCACGGCGACCCAAACGAACAAACTTCCTGTATGTGAGCCAACGATCGTTGTCCAGGAAAAATCACCATTTCCGTTCCATTTCACGTCGCGTCGGTCGGTTTTGCATGGCATGAACGTTACAACAAGTACTACGGTGTGGCAACAACGACAATGATGACGACGGCGAGGACGATGCAAGCCGTCGTGTGTGACAGTAGTTAATGCATCGCGGAATCGTAATCGTAGGCGCCTCCACCAGCTTCTGAACTTCTAGCTTTTACGATTTGTGTGTCATGAATGGATGAACATGGCTGGCCGAGTAGATGGTGTTTAATTTTTCAATGAAAAGTAGAACCCTTGCGTGTTGTACTTTTCGATGCTATCGGAGAAAAACGTGTCTGCTAATAACCTAATCAATATGTCAAAACAGTTCGCCCTGTTCATCACACGTGAGCGGCATCTTTTGAGAGGTAAAAACTCATAACAAAAAGGGATCAAAAGTTGGCGCAAATGGTTCCGCTTTCTTTCTTTGTGCCGTTTCCCTAATTGATTTGAAGGGTGTTATTATGTATAGGTAATTATCGCACCCTGCTTGATAATTATAATTTTTTCACATGTAATCTTTCAATATTGAAAATTATATTCTCTCCGAACTCGTTTTGTTACAGATATGCCACAACTGCGACCTCCAGCTCTCCATCGGTTTCTGGAACAGCCGGCATTCAGCCACTTCCCATCCCGGTTCAACTCCAGTTCCAACAAGTCCTCCATCAATACCTACAGTGCAAGTACAAATCATCACAACAGCAACAGTGGCAGTTCCAGTCTGAACACCAGCGTTGAGTCCTCCAGTGATTACAAACCGAACCTTACCCTTCCAGGTTAGTAAGTGCCTGTGCCAACATCGTCTTCGTTGTGCATATCGATATACTCTTACACCGAAATTGAGCACTGGCGTCCGGTGGAACGAAATTGAAATTTCGTTTCAATCATTTTCGATTCAGATGCCGACGGACGGTGCTGGATTGCATCTGCATTTCCACTAAATATGACCCCGTAATTATGTGTACGAAATTGATTACCTCTACGCAATTCACAACTTTGACCGTTCACAGCCGATGGGACTTTTGCGATTCTGCTAGGGTTCAATGGTCAGAGTAATAACGGTGCAACTTTTTGAGGATTTTTTGTGATTAGGAAATTCATTCAAATTCAAGCGCTTGATAAATTTAAGGGACATTTCTTTTCTTATACTCTTGAACACGTTGCACCAGTCTTGAATGCATTTTTTTTCCAAAAAATTCAACTAGATAGACAACGATTTAAACAAGCTATGAAAATCATCAACCTCAATCAAAAATGTGTATCACCGAATAAGAAAAGAAACAGAAGCTTATGAGCGGCAGAAATTGGTTTTTGCATTCCTGCACTTTCGACTGCTCTGCGCATTGGTGCATTCTTTTCCATTCTCCACGTTTCCGCATTTTACCCAGTTGTGAAATCCTCCGTGGATAACGTGACCTCAACCACCGTTTGCTACCTGTTGCATTGTGGTCAGATCTTTGGTCAATCAAGGATCATTATGAGCAACCTTGATTTCACAGGTTTTTTTTTTTTCCAACGTCATTTCCAATCAACTTTAATCTTATAGTGTAAAGCAATAAAGAATTTTGCAGTGGTCATATCATGATCTCAATTAACACACATAATTACACTTATAGGGACCGTGGGCAGAGAAACGACAAGTACATATATGCATACAGTAGTTGGTAGATATAAGCGAACGATAGATTTTGCTTTCCAACTACAAGCGTGGTTATTCTTGACAGACAAAAAGTTAGATTTGGTCTACCGTAGCTTACCATTGTTGAACCGAAAATGAGAAAAAGAATTCTATAGAGAAGGGGCAATATATCGACAACGTTTCTGTACATCTTGAATGGCAAATTTTAGCTTATTCCACGTTCCAATTTTTTCCAACTATGATTTTTCGAAAAAAAATTCATGTCTCGGAGCGTGATTTGTCCTTTATAGAAGGATTCTAATATTAAACACATTTTTCAACAGAATAAAATGTTAAAATGTTCAAATCTCAACCATTCGACTTTTTGTATATTTTATAGTATTTTAAAATCATGGATTTCTGAATTTCTCCTTGCATAGCCTATTTAGAGGGAAAGGAGCATAAAGGGCACCTTAAGTAATATACACATTTTTTGGAGACTTAATGCAATGAAATTTAAAAAAATAGGCTTCTATTATTCAGTATGATCCTTTCATATATGGCCTGATGATTAAAAGTGTGAAATTAGTTGATTTGGACTTTTAAAAATACTGTTTTCAGATTGGTTGACAATGGTACCATATATTAGAGTTGAGTACCCCCATGGGGCATAATAAGCATATCTACAAAAATGGGTGGTGATTGTACTTTTAACTATCAAATGTGCTCGAACGACTAGTAAACAATTAATAAACCTTTAATGAAGGAAGCATCGTTTTAGATTTGACTACATAAAAGATATGGAAACGGTGAAAAAAATAGAAGAATCTGTGCCTAGGGGCATGAACGGAAACTTGACTTGAATGAATTATTTTTATTATTAGTCTATGTGACTTGACTTATAAATGAGACTAATGAAGCACTTAAATCTAAATGTAGTCACTCATTATAAATTGGCCTAAGGCAAACGATGTCGAAATATGAAGGCATTGATGTCAAAGTCAAATAGGTCAGATACTTCGTTGAATTGATGAATCATGGCGACAAAGGAACTGTTTGCAGCATAGTTGGTTACATGTACTTCTTCATGTAGCAAGGCTCTAGAACGGAGTATTCGGGCAGGAGCATACAGATTAATTTTTGCCAGTTAATCAGCAACACCATATTCTGCGAGCAAGACTTTAGCAACGAAGAAGGCATGCGATACGTTTCGTCGCTCAGCAAGAGTATCCAAACCTATCAGCGGTCAGCATACGATGGTAAATTTGCGTTTAACAGCTTCGAATCGTGCACTCCATACTGCTTTTTAGGGATTCCAGACAACACACGAAAATTACTGTATTGAGCGTACCAATGAACAGTAAAGGGTTTTGACACACAGAGGATCACGGAATTCCTTAGAGATCTTGAACATGAATCCGAGCTGATGATTTGCTTTGTCGATCGTGGTTGAGAAGTGACGAGTGTACGTGAGCTTTTCATCCAGCATGGCAGATCTTTAACGTGTCGTTGAAGTGCAGTCCCAGTAACGTTATAATCAAACAAAACGGCAGTCCTAGTTCGACGGAAACTAATTAAGCAGCACTTTGAGGCGCATAGGACCATAAAATTACGTTCACACCAATCATTAAATATGTCCATAAGGTTTTCTAAACAGCCAGCATAGCCTCGAACGACTAGGTTAATCTTCAATACAATTTACCTCCACGTAGCAGAATAAACGTTACATTGTTTACAAATGAAGAGGAGAGCAGTGGTACCAAAGTGCTACCCTGTGGAACTCCTGATCTATTCGAGAAACAGTACGATGAGTAGTTTCCAATGCATACAGTAACTTCACCTTGCACGAGTTACGATGTAAGCCAGCTGCAGAAGGAAGCATAACATCCAATTTTTTCATGCTTTTCTAGCAGAACGTCGTGAGCAACTCAGCTTTAAGATCAGTGTAGATGACATCCACTTGAAGTTTCTGTCCGTAAAGCTGACGAGATTCGTTTGCCCGGAGCGGCCAGGAAAGAAGCCATATTGACATGTACTTATGTAATGCTTGCAGGAAGCAAACAATCTCTCATTTATCAGCGACTCAAACACCTTAGATTCAACCCCAAGCGAGGTAATCCCACGGTAGTTTTCCACATTACGTTTATCCCCTTTCTTGAAAACAGGGAACATAGTAGAGCGTTTCCATAGCGCGGGAAATTTCTGCTGACGAAGCGACAGGTTGAAGAGCAAGGACAGCGGAGCAGCTAAGATATCGGAGTAGTTTTTTCAGGACACCCGATGGAATAACGCTCGGAGCTGGTGAAAATGATGATTAGGTTTTACTTATCACAGCGAGAACCATTTGTACATCAACGGCAAAAACATCCATGTTAATAACGTCGGTTGGACCACGTCATTCGAGAAGACGCTCAAGAAGTTCCTAGCAAATAGGCTGCATTTGTCCTCAGTTGTCAATGCAACGTCATTGCCGAGAAACATGTTTGACGAACGCCTCAATCGGTCTTCCGAAAATTGAGACGATTGGCAATCGAGGTTTCATCAAAACGAATTTGAGATCAGTTCGCGATAGATATATCCAAAGCAGGGTGAAAATAGTCAAGAGGAACGATGACGTCAAGCGCTTCAGTGACGACACAGTCCAGAAGTGAACTTTCGCTTACAAAAACCAAGTCAAGAAAAAGAGTATGGAAATTGGGAACAAGGTTTATCTGGCTCAGTTCATGAAAAACAGTGCCGCCTACAAGCAACCGGCTGGCAGGAATAGTATAAGATGCAATCGGATCTGGAAACGCATAACCCTGGTCTGAGGGCGACCAGATAAGCCCAGGCTGATTAAAATCACCAAGCAGAAGAAGCACATCCGTTATATCAGTCAAGGGCGATGCTAATTCTGCAGCATCGAGATGAAGCTGCATTGTGCTGCAGTTTTGTCAACGTTCAGGTGGGAGATACACCGCTCCAATGAGGATGTTCCACGAAGTGGGGCTGACCTTAACCCAAACCGCTTATATTGTAGTAAACCGTTCGTCGACGATCACGCAGGAGGAGAATGCGTTGGAAACAGCGATGAGGACACCACCACCGCGAGTACGAATGCTGTTGAATTAATCTGTTGACAGTAGAAGCACAGACAAACAGACATAACAGTCGCAATTTGTTCATCGAACAAGCACTTAACGGTCATTTTAAAAGTATCGTAGTTGGTAGTACCGCCACCTGTGGCGCACATAGTCAATTCCCTTGCGTTTGACGTTTACACACTACCGCCTGTACCTGTTCAGCGTACTACCCACCACAGTGTATTCAACAGATGGCAGTAATGTTTTAGCGACGATGTTTTACAATGAGAAATATTCAATGTGTTATGTCTGTTTGTCTGTGGTAGAAGAGTCGCCAAACAGTTGCATAAACGTCTTATTCCCTGTCAAGCGCAACCAGATAAACATCGTCTAATTTAGTCATGAGTTGGTGTTCTGATAGTAGACTCGTAAACCGCTAGAGGGTTCGGTGCGAGCCGTGTCAATGGTAACTTTGACTTGTAAAGTGTTTAAAAGGGTCCAAAATTATTAGGCACTAGTGCTGTCGACCGAGAAATTTCGCTGTTACTAGGATCTGTAACCAAGAACACCTGGGTTGCGTAAATTTGCACCTCTTGCGATCAGAACATCTCTGGTTTATCCACCAATGGCGCGGCGACATCTATCGGATTTGACGGTGGAAACTAAATTCTCGGTTCATATTTTATAATATTTCACTGAATCGATTGTGTTTCAGTCATTCTATTAAATATCCGATTAAGTCCAACGCCCAACGATATTTACTGCTTTTTATTTCAGTACTCCTTTGTCATGCAATTTTAATTTTAAATTTAATGAGTTGACATTATATTGCATGGAAATTGCATATTTGTATGGGCAACATTGGTACAACTCAACATGTGCTATTGATGATAGACCTGAGCGCCGGTCATTTAAACGGTGGCGGCGGAGTGCCTCGGCGTATCACTTTGGTAGCCGTAAAAATATAGCATTTTCAACATGAATTCAAGTGAGGTAACATAAATGAAACAAAAGTTTGTGACATGTTGTTGTGACAATAATTGATATTTTCTACCGAAAACACCATCTTTTCAAAACAATATCGAAATTACGTCTA